AGGAGGTTCAGACTCGGTAGTATAATCGTTTATTGAAATAAAAAACAAAGTTGTTTTTCCAAAAAAATTCCATTCTATTCCCTAAAAAACAGAACGTGTTGACACTGCGGTAGTTATTCATAAATACCTAAATTTTACTATGCACGAACTTGATGTGTGCGTGTTAGTTATGATATGAATGATCGCGCGTTTATGATTTGTTGGCTAAATCCTATACAGCTAGCGACATCTAGTGGAACAATAAAATAACAACAAGTTTTTTTTTTTAATGTGAAAGTTGCCAAAGGAGCAGACGGTTCACCTGATAGTAAGTGAAAACCGGCGCCCATGGACATCTGCTACACCCGAGGGTTACAGCGTTGACAACCTTTTGAAAATGGGGTCCGGCTACCTCACTACATGAAAGCTTATGCATGTAGCATTAACAGCGTGTGCTACAGCTTTTCATTGTCAATGTACGTACACGATTTCAAATTCATTTCAAATTGAAATGACAGCCAATAAAGTATTGTATTAACGTTATACTATCATAGTCACTCAGAAGCTTCTACTATTGTATAGATGTGATAGCACACCGAACAAGCGCCTTGGCCTAAGATATCTCTTAAAAAGGCGAGATTTTCTTAATATCTTGCGTATGACAAACTGATGTTTAAAAATTCCAGCATTAAAGGTATGTTACAAGAGAACTCATGTACATAATAATGATCTTATAGTGCCACAGCGGACAACGAAATTTCTATAATATGCAAAGTAGGGTTGATGAATATTCCTCTTCCTCTTAATGCGGAACTTCCTCATTTTTTCACGAATCCTCTTCCTCACCCGTTTCCACAAAATAAATTTAATCCTTCTCCTCTTACACTTATTAAGAAGAATTTTTAGTGGAAGTTACAAATAATTTGCCGGTTTATTATTATAATTAGAACAACTTGGCCACATTTTATCTCGAAAACGAATTGGGTTACGTACAGTTACAATATATTAAAAATAATTTGATCGACTTATTTGTACAAATCTTTACTTACCCGTTGTAACGATTCACTTCTTGTATCTTGTATTAACTGATGTTTTTGCTTTCAGTCCCGATTCTATTAAAGTTTCATCTGACACAGAACCGGTGGGTTAGCACCCTAAAGTGCAGGCGAATAACTGTTAATTTTAGGCACACACCTCCCTGCCGCAAGGTGGGGAAGCCTATTCAATAACCTACATGCCGGCGGGGCGCAAGCCCCAAAGGTTCAAGCGTTCGCAATGGGTTCCCTACTAGAGGAGTTCCTACTTCAGCAATGTCCTGAAGTGTGGGCAAAATTCCTCGCGTTCGCGAATGAACAACGCCTAGTCGTCGAGTTCGCCAGCGACAGCCCGGCTTCCACGGCAGTCGCCTCGCTGCCATCTCCGGTGCCCTCTGCGTCCACTAATGCGTAGACTTCCGCTGCCGCGGACAACTACCGACAACCGCACTCAGGGATACCCTGTGCATGCCGTCCGACACCGCAGACAACCCAGAACCCGTGTTACGATGGACATGGTGATGGTTGAACTTGACCCTACCCCGCAAGGTAAGGCCATCTTCAACCTCAAAAGGGTCTGTGGGCTCAGCGACCTCGTGATCGAGCCCGTGCGAAGATCGGGAGTCATGGCGCAGTGCCACAACTGCCAACACTATGGCCACACGGCCACACTAATAATTGTTTCGCTCACCCTAGGTGCGTCAAATGCACCGGTCACCACGGCACGCCCGATTGTACGCGGGCGAAAGATTGCGCAGATCCACCGGTCTGCGTAAATTGTCACACCACCGGCCACCCGGCTAGCTACAGGGGCTGCGCTAAGGCCCCAAAAACTCCCTCAAGCGAAAGCAACGTTGCCCAAATCCGCGCCCGCGAAATTTATTCCCGCGCCCGCACCCATCGTTAACGCCTGGGCGAAACCCCAGATGGCCGCCCCAGGTAGTCACGCCCCCGGTCGCCTCACTACCAACGTTAAACTGCAAAAAGAATATTTCTATTACGTTGTTACTTATTTCTCCTCCTCCTCCTCTTCCTCATAGCAGATCCTCATCCTAAACCTAATTTTTTTCTAAAAAAAATCCTCATCCTCATCCTTATCCTCATCAACCCTAATGCAAAGTACTAAAAGTACAGTAACAAACTAGTTATCAGTGGCAAAAATCATCCACATTATCTGCTCATATTGTTGATCGATAAAATATGGCATTTTTATTTTTACACCATGATATTTGGAACTTTAATTCAAAGATACATTTTATAAACGCTAATATTGTCCTTATATATAGTTACACAAGTAAATATTAATTAGGATACATGAGAATCAATTTGCGGCATGGTCGTTTCGTCGAGGCATTCTTTTCGTTGTCAGTCATTTTAATGGAACCGCTATTAACCAGAATTATTAGCATCTCGCTTTAAGCAGCCGCAATTAGATACAATATAAGAATGATGCATCTTCGAATTAAAATGTACTTTTAATATTTTTCAACTTTTATTAAATGTTTTTAAATATTTATCTCAGGAATTTTACCACAGGTTATGAGTTTTAAAAAAAGAAAATAATGATAAACATGTTTGGAATATTACATTTAATTATTTTTAATTTCTGGTTACGATATTTGTAATCTCTTCAAGTTCGTAAAGCTTAAGCCGATTCAATTACCGCATCTATTATTCAACTCGATATAAGAACCTGTCTCCGAGTTTTCGATGACGACATACCTTTATATAACATACTTAGGTTATGGTTAGTGTGAAACCATTCACAAATCCATTTAAAGCCAACAATCCGGTCACGTGGTAAACACCAAAAAGGTCATTGAACAAATATTAGAAGCGAACAGTTCTTGTTCTTCGTAAGCCATGTTGGATTGCGTCAGATCAGGGCAGTTGTCACCGCTTCCCGCCGACTTTTGATGATATGACGGACTGTCTTGTTGGATAGCACATTCGTTAACGCTCATAATAGGTACATAACATACACTACCGATATAACATATTAGCTTTTACGTCTGTAATCCCTACCGCGTAGACAGTTGGCTTGCCCCTTCCCATCGTATTTTGTTGGACATGAAACAAATTTTCCAATAAAATATCCAATAAATGGAGAAATCATTCGGGGACATATGAAGTTTTCTCCAAGGTTTCTCCGGCAATCTTACGAGTTATTATACAGCCACAGACGAAAATTAATAATATCTGACAAAAAACAATTTTCAACACGGCGAAACCAAAGCAGACAGTCTCTTTGATAATCTTGCTTGGTTTCTACAATCGTAGGAAACAAATTAAGCAATGAACTCGCCGAATAAAATAGATATTGACGAGATTTCTGCATGTATTTTATCAATACATAAGCAAATCATTAGTAGCATCACATACAATACTAATAACAGATAAATTTTGTTTTAATACTAAAATTAAATAAAGGTATCATTTCATTATTTTGAAGAGAAGAGGAATACGAATTGACATAAAAACTTTTTTTTTTTTATTATGTATGGGAAACTTACAGCTAACATACAACCATTAACATATAAATAAATAGAAAAGAGATAGCCATTTACAAGTTCTCGCAAATAGATCAAGGAGTAATAACATGAGGTAGGTAGAGATAACAATTAAAAAAAAAGAGATATAACAATAATAAATATTACACTAAATTATACATAAAAAAAGTAAAATAAACACCATAAAACTAAGTGGAGAAATATTTGTTGGCTAATAGTTTCTTGAGCTGAGAATCGCTGGTAAAGTATAAATCAATGTCTACTTTATACTATATGAGTACACTATGATTTCTTTGAATCCACATTCCACGATGCATTCAGCAAATAAGAGTGAATTGGCACATAAAATGGTGAATGGAATAAATCAGAATATACTCAGGGTTAATTTATTGTGTATATGTATTGACCTCTGAATCATTTAGGATACAGAACTCAATTTAGAGTGGTTAGTCCCGCGAGTTCTTTGTCTCATACTATTATATATAATATACAATATAGCTAAAATGGTCACGGTGTAGGGCCACGCAGCAGCCTCGGCTGTTGCACGAATGGGCAGGCCCGTCCGGGTAAGTACCACGACCTCAAAGAATACCAGCGTAAAGTGGAAGTATGACAAATACTTTCGCGTTTCGTCTGGTGAGTGAGGTAGCCAGAGCCCAATTTTCAAAAGGTTGTTAACGCCTCTGTAACCCTCGGGTGTAGCAGATGTCCATGGGCGGCGGTATTCACTTACCATCAGGTCAACCGTCTGCTCGTTTGGCAACATTTCACATAAAAAAAATTATTCCGCGCCACCTTTATTGACATCGTCTAGTAGGTTTAGAGATGTTACTGTATGATTTGATGATGATTACCAATTTTGGTCTGAACGATGGACAGAAACGCAAATTCAATATAGGTTTATCAAACAGAACATCCAGCTAAGGTCAGAAGTACCTAGCACCCTACAAATTTCGCACGTAATAAGTATATCAGAAACCCCTTTAATAAAAAAAAGAAATACGCACATCTAAAGAATATATATTTGACATTTATTTTTAACTTAAGCTTCGAACGTCTATTAAATCTACCACCAGTTCGCAAATTGGCCTTGGTCACAAAAGCAATGGCAAGAAACTGCGAATAAAAACATATTCCTTTTGTTATTTTTAACAAACATTACTGAATTATAGTACGTAAAAAGTTAATTGCAATTACGGGAGACACAAAATTGCACGGCAAAATTAAATTACACACATCGTTGTCAACAATGTATTGTTCAAAAGAAAAGCTCTTTCTTTTTTAATTACGGTTGCCTTGACTACGGTTCTGTAGTTACGTTCAATTTTATATTTTTATCCTTGGTCCACGAGCGGTGACAGGACCCAGGAGCACTGCGCGTTGCCAACCGGGAGAACATATGGAAGGAGAAACAGCTGCACGGAAGGTTGTACAAGGCAGCAAGTACAGAAAGTAGTTGCGGAGGCTGCAAACGTCACGATCGTGCTTTGTGAGGGCGCTTAAAAAGCCCCTCGCGGAATGCTTCCGCGGCAGGTACAGCCTCATCACTGACGAACTCGAATGATGCATCCTGTGGGACATCATAGAGGTGCCAACTTTCGGTCGAGGGAGTTGAGGTCAGTTTGGAGTCCTGAGTACACAGGTGAGTATGCCAAAGTTGTACACGAAGACTGGCATGACCCAGCCGTTACGTTGACGCTTTGTTCACGCCTGACGAATGGCTATTATACACTTTTCAAAATCGTGCTATCTAACGTGCAAAAACACATCACAAACTGACTTTCATACAAGTCTCATCGATACACGTTTTGCATACACACATATACATGTTAAGTGAATACCGCCGCCCATGAACATCTGCTACACTCGAGAGGGTTTGCAGATAAGTTGACAAACTTTTTGAAAATTGGGCTCCGGCCACCTCACTGACCAGACGAAACTCGAAAGTATTATACTTCCACTTGAAGCTGGTCTTCTGTGAACCTTACCTGAGAACTCCTGCAGCCTCTATACAAAGTTTTTTTACATATAAACCAATTTTCGAAGCAGTTTTTCCAGTCCGCCGTAGACACCGCTTCTACGGCCTTTTGAAACGCCGTTAGCGCGTCTTCCGCCCATGTAAACTGTATCCCTTTCTGGACCTCGACGACCCTTAGATGAAACACCATAATTAAACGCACGCATGAGCACATGCGCGACCCTACCCATAGCGGAGGGTCCAAACCCGTGGGTTCTGGCTAGCCCACCGGTTCTGCGTCCGATGAAACTTTAATAGTCCCGGGACTGAAAGCAAAAACATCAGTTAATACAAGATCCCTTTCTGTTGATCTTATATCTATTAATTTTAGGGAACATAAATATGTCGAACGGTGCCAGGTGAGGACTGTAAGAAGACGGAGAGGTACCCAAGATTGGCTGGTGAGTTGCCACGAAGTCCCTGATTTTGAGTGCTGAGTGCGCGGGCGCAGCAGTACCCCGCGAAGCCCGGTGTTCGATCCTATGTTGCTCATTCTAGTATACTTTTTGCAATCATTTTATAGCATACCATATTATTATTATATTCTCTTATTAGTATATTCGGCGTTGATGCTGCTTTGATTCCATAATGGATTTGACACTATATACACAGTCAGAAATTAGGAATCAAAATTTTCTCTAGATCACGGATGAGCAACGCGCGGCCCCTTAAACATGTTTATGCGGCAAGCATTTATTGCGGTAAGCATTTTTAAAATTGAATTTATTTTATCGAATTTCTCCCATCAATATATTGTTATAAAATTAATTATATTAAAATGGTAGTACATACTGAACCGAAATATTTTTTGTTCGTTTTTCTGTTCTTTTCTTGTTTGTTTTTACCTTCCATTGAAATTTGTGTATGAAATCTTTACTTTTTTTATTTTTTGATTCTAATATTTATTATAAATAAATTTTCGTAGATTATTATGTGCGGCCCGCCAAAAAAATTTTAAATTTAAATTGACCCATTGATTAAAACGGTTGCTCACCCCTGCTCTAGATCATTAATCGATAAGTAATCTCGATTGCCTCACTTTTTCCCCCAAGAGAGGATACAAGGCGACAAGGGTAACCGAAAACAAGATGGAAAGATTCATCTTGTTTTCGGTTGTTGTTGTAAGCTTTTTGATGCCTGCGTAAGCTTTTAGCCATACTGGAGAGATTAGAGCTCAGTGGAGAGAGCTGGAGGAAGTCTATGCGGGGAGGCACGCCGAATTGAGAGACATTTTATAATTAATGGAATTTGAAACGTATATTGCCGAAGTTGTAGTTAATTTGGAATAAAATTACTTTATTATTATGAATTTAAACCATGATTTATATTTTTTTAATCACCTTTTCTTTTCCTTTATTTTGATACCTACTCAACAGGTTTGGTAATTTTTTTTTAACATAATAGTACTATTTTATTTTTATTAGTATGGCATGTATTATTGCGCTTAATAAGTAAATATTCGCCATTTTACTTTCTTTTTCAAACACCCGATATATATAAATGATATCTTAACAGTCAAAATCCATTCAACTATTTGGAAGATACGAGGTTATAAAGAAATTTACAAACAAATATTCATGCAAGATACATGTGCAAAACATAACCATTCCTTGGCAATTGGGTAAAAAACACGGTTTCAAATACCATTCAGGTACATATATCATAATTATGAAATAAATCATAACCTTTTTGGATTCTTAACATATAAAAATTCTTAACATATGAAAACTTATATTTCAATATTTAGGCTCTATGTAAATAAAAAAAAAACAAAACTACATTTACACAAGCAACTTTATTGTTATTCCTGTGCAATTTTTTCCACTTAACCTAGATATGTCAAGGTAGTTTTACTTGAGAGGAATGAACCTGGAACTGTGTGTGGCACCAATACCAGGCCTACCATGCTTCACAGGTTTGTATGTGACCGAGAACTCTCCGAGGTAATGCCCAATCATCTCAGGCTTAATTTCAACCTGAAAAATCAGAATAACATGGTAAAAAAATTTTATATATTAAAAATTACAAATCAAAATATTGATTTTAAATTTCTAATAAAATTTTGTAAAATATATAAAAAAAAATCAGCACTCCGAATTTAAGAAAAGTGAGTGATGTTTTTATGTACCTTTAGCACCTGGTACCTATGAATTGGCCGCTGGCCCAAACTAGCAGGTATGTTTACCTTCAGAGTATACTCTAACACTACTCTGTACATATATGTTGTTACTCAGAAAATAACATCTGGCGGCCCTGGGCTCTTGCTCTATAATAACTACAACTATTTCAATATATTGTAGTCACTTCAGGAGTTTAAGGCAATGTTTGATTTGCATTTAAAATGGAATAGAGACATTATTTTCATGTTAAATAACATCCAAATTATTTAATTAGAAACTGTTTCTTAACAAGTGTGAGTAATGTGGTGAACCCCCAGTAAGAGTGGGTAATATTTGTAATGGTGGATAATATGTGCGCGTCTACTAGCACTAGTGAATTATGTTCGTATTGTAATTTATACTTTATATCTTTTTATAAAATTTTATTAGAATCTCAATCAGATCGTTCAGTACTTTTCAATTTTTTTGTATCGTCGTGGTGTTCTTGTAAAAAGTTTAGTTTGTTTCAAGTGTGGACAAGACATGTTTTTGATTTAACATGAAAGTTTTTAAATGTTACAATGTAATAATTAAACCAAAGACGAAGAAGCGTCAGTGTTTTTTATTAATGCGACATTACCATTTGGAAAAGTGTGCAACTTCAAATATGTCATGTATTTTTAACAAAAAATCTTTTAGTAGCTTTATATCTAACATGTTGTCAATAACAAAATGAAAGACTTTCTTAGTGAAAATAACGAGTTTTAAATATTTTTTTCTCGAAAACTATGCGCAGCCAGATAATTCTACTTGTTGTTTACTTCTTTAGTGATATTTCTATATTGAATAAAATTTTTTTGCATCTGGTAAATCACACTGTGGTAATGGAAAATTTTACCTTATTATTTTATAACCTCCCATTAGCGCTTCTGTTGTAAGTATGGTTAAGGACAACAGGTGGGAGGGGAACCCTCCCCTATGACATTCTTATTACATTCTATTAAATAAATAAAATTAAGTTGTATAATAAAAAAACTATGTGTCTCCGGCGGGGGGTCAAGTGGAGGGGGTAACTCACCACATCACCCCACCCACCCCTTAGGAAGGCAATTCGTTACAAAATTTTACCCAAATTACTTTCTCGAAAACTGAGTTTCCGCAAAAAAGTCTTCTAGTGTTTACTTCAATGATTTATTACCTACCTAGTAAAATTATCACAAAATTCGTGCGAAGTTAGTTTAGTTAGTTTATGGACGAACCTGATTGAAGGTTTTCCCGTTGTAAATACCAACAATGGAGCCCACCATCTCAGGCACAATAATCATGTTACGCAAATGAGTTTTCACAATTTCAGGTTTTTCATTTGGTGGAGCTTCCTTCTTTGCGCGACGCAATTTCTTTACAAGTGCCATTGGTTTACGCTTTAAGCCACGGGCGAACCGCCGCCGAGCGCGCGCATGCATCAACTCCATAAGTTGTTCACTGGAAAGAAAAACATTTTAGGGTTATCTTTTCATCTAGGTCAATAACTATGAGGTACTAGATATTGTTTCGCGTCTACAAAGATAGCCTTTTAATTTAAAAACAAAAATTACGAAGTACCACGAAAATAATTGGCACTGTAGGCCGGCTTGATAATAAAAATTAAGAAATGCCTCCGTATCAAAATATATTATAGGTATAACCAAATAAAACTACTCACTTAGGCATATCCAGAAGTTGATCAAGATCAACACCTCGGAAGGTAAACTTCCTGAAGGTACGTTTCTTCTTAAGAGTTTCTTCGACCTGAAAAATGTAATCATTATGTCACGAAGAAAAATATGCACTCTGATATAACAAACATTCGACATAGATTCAATCTATAGTTTTTATCTTTATTTTCACAAAGGATTCGTTAAGTATTATAAGATGAAAGCACTTAAAACATGATCACAAACCTCAGCCATGTTTCAGTTCGTTTGACAGAACAAAAAGAAAGAAATAACTGTCAAACTCTACAAAGTCACAAAACAATAGTGTTGCCAATGTTTCCTAGAGAAGGCAGTAATTTTCGACGGAAAATGCAATATTGATATTTGTTTGGTAAGCGCAATTTGATTTTAGCTCTGCGAGCAAAAGTAAAGGACGCATGAAGTCAGTAGAAACGGATTAGTCGACGCACGATGACATATTAACACATTCACAGCGCTATATGTCTGCGACTCATGATAATGTTTGACAGCTTCCTAAGAAGAGATCCTCGAGTAAACGACGCTTACACTCAGGAAAAACGACTTAGCTGGCGCACGACGACGATAGCACATCCATACCGCTATATGTCCGCGGCCGTGTTGAATTGTTAAAGGCTGTGGAAAAAATATCGATACAAAATATTCAATATCGAAAATCGTATCAAAAACTATATTTTTTTAATATTTTTAATCGACTTCAAAAAAATTCTAAATACGACTGTACTTTTTTTTAATGTTTGTGACCTCAGAACTTTCGACTGAGTGAACCGGTTCTGATTAGTGTTGCACAACCATCGATAGTTTGACTATCGATAGTTGACCTCGAAAACTATTCAGGATATCGATTGTACCAACGACAATATCGTCTAAGTCAATACTGTCGATACTACCGATAGTATAGATGACTCTCCAAGTGCCAATACTATTGATAACAGCAATACTATCGATAGTAATGCATGCGATAGTATCGATAGTATTGCAATTTCCATTAGTTTTTGACAAAACCTATCGATAACCTCGATAGGTTTGTACTATCGATAGCCAGTAAAAGGCTATTGATAGTACAAAATCATCGATATTATCGATAGTTTTTGGTAGATTAATGGTCTATTTTATTGTTATTGTTATTCATTGTAGATTTAAAATGTGATCAGAGTTGTACTTTTAATTCAAAATGCCTAAAAGCTGATTTATTACCTGTGAAATTTGGGAAAATCGAACAAGTCGATCGAATCTTGAAAAAAGGATGTTTTGGCGAGATTTCCCTTAGATGCCGGTAAGCACTTAAATATGATCTTTGCAGCCATATGTAAGTAGAGCAGGCAAAAAACAAATAAAATTAACAAATTTATCTCATTTAAATTGTGTGCTAGTGATGTACTGCAACTGTAATATCCACATATCGATAAGAACCTTTTTTGTATCATTCATATAAAATAAAAAATAAGATATGGAGTGAAAGAGTAGGGGTATAATGTTTTACATATTTGAATGGCGTGCCTACATAAATGAGCAAGGATTGGAATAGGTTGTGCAATTTTGCAGGATTTAGAAACATAATCTTTATAATATTGATATGCCACACAATTTATTTCATGTGCTGAGTACTAAAGAAAAATTGATAATTTCATGTTTGTACCTAATACTCCTGATACCAAGTAGGTGGCGATGATAAGCCCACAAATATTTGGGTGGAGGAAAAATGCATCTACAAGTTTTATAATATTATTGTTTATGATCATTCACCATTAAATTTATTTAACTACTTTGATCTTCCATATCAATATTTATGGTTTTAACGAAAAAACATTTATATAATTTTAATAAAAAAAATATCAGATGCAAACAGTGGGTAAAACTTGTAGGAAATGAAGATTTCGTATATTATATTCCCATTGAAAAGTTGCATTCATTAACATATTTATGTGGAAACCACTTAAACGACAAAACAGTTAATAAAAAAAATCACCTGAAAATTAGTACCCAACCATCAAAAAAGCATTATGCAATATGTCGATAGTTGATTTGAAGATTCCGAAGCCCATACGGTGTGTGAAGATTATTTTTTTATTTAAAAATTCATTATCGTTTGAATATGTAATTTTATTACAATAATAAAATTTTAATTAAATTAGCAGAAACTGTTTTTTATCTTATTTCGGTTCTTCATTTAAGTCCAGTCTTGTATTGGTACCAAATATCCCCTAATCAACATTGGACATAAATATGGACTCGATATTTAACAAAAAGTAATAAAAAAATATAAAGTGGAAGCCTCGGTTTCTACCTAGTATATTTTATCGATATCGATAAGAAGCTAAGCTAGCTTGGTTGAGCACTATTTGGATCGTTACATTGGTACTCCTGTTGTTTGACATGTTTGTGGTAGTATGTTTGGTATTAGAGTGCCGCGTAAACTGATATTTTTGGGTAGCAGTAGCATAGATAAGACATAAATACTGAACATATATGCAGTTTAGCTTGGAATTAGGAAGGGGAACTTCTGATTAAATAAATGGTATTGTTATAAAATGATTTTCAAAAAGAAATAAGAAACTTCCAATGGGAAGGTTCCTTAACCCACATGTACTACTCTATTCAGGAGAATTAACATTTTTTAATTAAATAAAACAAAGGAAAATGTATGAAAGTATATAATTCCTATATATAGTAAAAATGTAAGTAAAAAACTTATTTGTATTGCTTTATAGATAAGGGCAGTGACAACGAGTGCCACTAAAATTTAATATTTTCTCCCATAAGTGCAACCCCACAAATTTTTTATTGCTTTTATAAATATGCACTTACCAGATTTTTTTTCCTTTTCTCTAATACTTACTTAGGACTTTATTAAAAAAAATTAAATGAGATAGATAAGGTATGTTACAAATGCTAATTTTTGTAAATATTTATCTATTATGCACTAGAGGCATGTATGTAACATTCATACAAGTACATTTTAATTAGCAGACCTAAGTAGTTTAGACAATCTCTTCCCAATTAACTTAGGGTAGCTTCGCGTTTTAATCAGATACTCTTTTGATTGATGTGTCACAGCTCCATTTTCTAATTGATAATTACATAACATGTGTAAGGGTTTTATTAATTGTTCACTGTAAATGCTGTTCTTCTCTAATTGAGACAATGCCTCAGCAGCAGTCTCCAATGTGCTTAAACAACCTTCTGTAGGTTGTGTTCTAATGATATATCTACTAGTATTATTTGTAACAAGTTTAACTTGTTTAATTTTGTGCAGGAGTGGACTAGAGGCATAAATTGCTTTTGCTTGGGGCCATGTGCTATCTATTAAAATAAGATTATAAAATTCAGCATCAAAACTTAATTCCCTTATGTCAATGGAATTTTTACTAGGATACAGTAAAATAGTGTTTGGCTGATTTAGAATATTCTCCAAATCTTCATGTTTAGGCAGTGGAAACTTTTTTCCTTTGAAAATAAGGCACTTGTTTTCTGCTAAACCTAACTGTAACATTGGAGCAGTACGCAAACATCTTTTTTCTTCAGCTGGGTGTTGTAAAAGAATAATATTACTTTCTGGATTTAATCTTTGAGGAGGCAAAGCAGAACACCAGCAAACTACCAAGGGTCTCCTGGAATTTTTAATAAAATTATTTTATACCAGTGGTCTTGGACCAAAACTACAAAGACATTTATTACAAAGCATTTACTTATATTCTTGGCAAAGTTTGATATAATTATCACTTATAGCTTATTTATTAAACTGGTATGATTTTACTTTCTACATCATAAAAAAATTCAGATTTGCTTTAGTATATCGAAAATCGTATCAAAAACTATATTTTTTTAATATTTTTAATCGACTTCAAAAAAATTCTAAATACGACTGTACTTTTTTTAATGTTTGTGACCTCAGAACTTTCGACTGAGTGGACCGGTTCTAGTATATGGTAGCACGCGCAGGATGGGGGAGGGGGCGGGTCAAGGCGAGGGGATGTGGTTAATTAACCCCCTTGAAAAGGGTGGGTGCAGAAATGTATAGTTTCTGAAATATATTAAAAAACTACCCTAACCTATGCAATGTTACTATGGTAGTATTTATTTAGAATAAGGTAGTGGTAGATGGAGGCTCTACCTTAGCAGCTCTATTTCTGAGTAGTTATAAAAAAATAACCACGAAGGCTAAGGTGGGAGCAGAGCCCTAACCTAATCTGTCTGAGTCAGATTGCTCTAAATCGGGCCGTCAACTATAATGATGATATCAATAAACTTAAACAACTTGAAAGAACATTAAAATATAATTAACCTCTGTTTGATTTTCTATTTCAGTCTCTTTTTTTGAAGACATAGAATACCGTCAGCCAAAAATAATAATGCGGTCTGAAATAACATGTGATAAAATATGATATAATCATTAGGTTGTCTGTTTCTAATGTTTTAGAATGTAATTATGTGAATCTTTTGGTTTGGAATACGAAAACAATACTGTTCTAAACTATTCCTAGTAGTTAACCTATAAAATTTAAAAAATGTATTTTTCGAAACTAAGAATTTCCACAAAAAATCCTTCTAGTATTTAATTCAGTGGGTTATTACCTACCTATTAAAATTAAAATTTTCACGAAAATCGTGCTAACTAAAGCAAAGCTAAATATTCATTTAGTTGTGCATAATGTTACAACAATTATATTTGAGTTGAGAAACATAACTAAGTGACCATGCTATAAATGTAAAAATCATCAAACTGCAGGTATAGGTATTATGTAAGCAAGTTATAGACTAAATACGAGAAATGTAAGTATATCAAATTAGGATACTAGAAAAGATGAAGGTCTGTGGAGAAGCCTGGGTCCAGCGATGGATTAAAACAGGCTGAAATGACAATGATGATGATTATACTGTTCACGAAAACCTCAAGATATGGCATAAGCTCTTTTTCTATACAAGACATGAAAATTTTAAACACAGTTTACTTACTTGCAACTTACACATAAATCACGCATAATAGGTGGTTCTGCAGGTATGTTGGATAAGTCTTCCCAAACTTGAATCTCGTCCATGACTTTACTGCTCTACATACATATTAAGCTACACCAATGTAGTACCTTCAGACCCTTCTCAATATCCTTGATATTTTAGGTTTTTGTAACATTATATTGCCGCCTATCACACAAAATTTGTTGCTTTCAAATTCTTATTATTATGTCAGTAAGTTGGTCTATCGTAATTTTAATTAATACATGTATTGTATTAATAAAATTGTATACTTATAAGTTACACTACTACTGTATTTAACTATAGATTTTTTTTAATAACTTGACATCGCAATTCCTAATTCAACTATCTAGTACAGTCGTGTTGCAAGTTGCAAGGGTAAAAATATGGTGTTTCTAGACAAAATTACGGTGAATGTACGTATGTTTAAGAGGAAAAAAACAAAATTTTGAACCAAATCAAGTCAATCAAAGTAATAATTGCTTTTTTTTAATAAATAATAAAGAAAATTAATTTAATTAAAAATAACGTGAAATATCAAACTCAAAACCATTAAAATATCTCTCACTATTACTTTGAAATTACGATAAGATATTTTAAATTATGAGCTTGAAAACTAAATAATCCCTAGATTTAAATGTTTACTACGTATTAATAATGCGTCGTAAGTAAAATAAAACAACGTAGTAAATTGTACGTCACAGTCCTTCCTATATTAAGGATGCCCTAAATAAGGACGAGAATAGATTGTGGTTATAAACTTTAAGATATTGGAGATTCCCCAGTAGCTCTTGGCAACCAAGTGTGCTGTCATTGCGAAAAAACGTAAAGTTGAATGAAAAATGAAGCAAAGGGTACATTGTAGCACGAGTGTCTCCATTCATATACACGGTAATTACCGTAGATGCACCGTTACCTGGTTTTTATTTACCGTCAAGGTGATAACGTATTACCGTATTACGATTAAGCAATACGTTATTACAAATACTTCATCATTAAATGAATCTTACGGCCGGTTTCTAAAACAGTGATCATCGTGGATGTTAACTAATCAGCTGTCAAGTGGCTTTTTAAATTTCATATGAGTTGCCAAAAGAATTGAGAATGATCTTCTTAATGATCGGAATGATGGCCAGTGGCGGGCACCGAACAAGTGGCAAATCCGGTCAACAGTGCCATTTTTCCGCGGACGAGTCAAATGGACGAGCAGCTTTGGAAAATACGTGCAATTTTGTTGCCTTTTGCCGACAACCGTAATAATCTGACTGTTTATACTACGGCAAGAGTAAACAGTCAAATTAGAACAGTTAGACTGTATACAATATTCGCTATGCAGTGGATATATTCCAGTTTACAGTTAATATAAAAAGTACGACAATTGAATTAGTAATGAAAATATGGTATATCCTTTTCATACTATATTATTATTCTTTCGTACTATAATATTGGCTACGATACGCAGTACGATACTATATATTATAGTATGGGTGGCAACCCTAGATATATGTATGAATGATACAACAGATGGCAGCATATAGCCATAGTGTCGGACGTCGGTATTATTTTTTATTTAACGGATACTCTTATGGTGTTTAAATAAAAAAAGACTCATATTTAATTATCACGCTTTGAATTTTAAGTTAACTGGAAAAAAGGACCCATAAATTGTGTACCAGTATATTGGTCCTTGTACGCCATTTTGCGTCGCAATTGAGAGTTATTATTATGATGTAACTCTCTTTCTTACATTTGTGTTTGTCATAAGCGTAAATGAATAAGCTGTAAATTCACTCGCTTTCTCCTTCTCATACATACATAAATAGTATCTATAGTATATTCTTACTACGTAGGTTGTAGGTACAAAATTTTATGCGAAAGATTTGTAAACATGGAGGCCAAGCGATGTAAAGGCTTTACAAGCAGAGTGTTTCTATAGTAATCTGCTTTTATTTTTGCATTAAAGGAAGTTTACAAGTGGTTAGTATTAAAAAGTAATTATGCTATAAACGAAAACAATGATAACCTTATTGTAAGTCTCAAAGTATTACTAGTATGCAAACGTATGCATTTATTTGGCGCCAATGTTCTAAAAACCGTTAATACAGTCATTTCACACATAAATCAAAAAAGACGCTTTTTATTTTATACACTCGAGTCTATAAAGTATTTTAATCAAAGTGAAGTTAAAATCGACATCATGAAATAAAACTGGTCTTTCGAGTGTCGTCAGATCTGTCATCCGAGAAATTGGTCTAAAGAGAAAACGCTATTTTAATACAAATACAAAAGAACATCACGGATTTGTGTAGGAGTAATAACTTACCCGGGTATTTTTTTTTCAGAACATTATTGAATATAAACGAAATACCCACATATTATTGAAATGAAGAAATTCATTAGTTTACCATTGGAAACATCTTGACTAATCTGCAGAGTAAGTAGCTGTTGTAACTAAATCCTTATATTATTGTAATGTTTAAATTATAAATATTTGTACAATAGTTTTTAATTAAAGAAAAGATGGAAAAACATCTGCTATTAAAATGACTCATATAGTTATGTAAATAAGAATGTGAGACGTCATAAAACGAGTAGAGAAATTGTGAAATTTTAATTTCATTTAAAAATCAGTGAACTTGTGTGTCTACAAAAATTATGCCATTTACAGTGACTAAGTCTTCTTTTTGGAAATATGTCAATATTATTAGTATTATGTGTACTAATTAAATATTTATTTTATTTTTCCTATTTTTGAAATTGTTTCAGAAATGGGCACAGAGTTGCCAAAAACTCATGATTCAAGTGGTGGTACTGATTCCAATTCTGATTCAGAGGTTAGTATTGGTTATGTTTACAGTATTTGATATTGATTGTATTATTTGTAAGGGTTATGGTTTCAATAATATGGTTTATTGTAGCTCAGTGAATACACATTATAGAGCATATATGTTTGAACTATATGCACTAAGGTTCTAGTGTATTTTTTGTTATTATTGTCTTGTTCAAAATATTGTACAATTCTATTGCCACAGTGTATAAATTTCATCAAGAAATGAGTGAAAATATTTATTTATGGTATTCCTGCATGCTAATATACCGACAGGTATAACTTATAATTCAAGAATATCTGGATGCAACTGAAATATGAATTAGTGGTAGGTAGTAGTGGATGAGAGAGAAATCAATCATTAAATTTAATATTCTTTATCTTTACTGATAGAATCTGATAGAACATAATTTGTTCAATTTTTAAATTCTATAAAAATTTATTTATTAAAATTGTTTTGAACAATAAGTGGATAAATTAATGTAGTACAGTTTATTTGAACTAATGATTTGTTATTATTATTCAATTGACCATAACAATACATGTTTTTTATATAAATAGGGAATTCTTATTTACACAAATAGCTTTTGTCACATTTTTCTTACGAATATTTAAAAAAAAATACAATGTTGAGACTAATTTTTTGATTTATCAAAGATAATCTTTTTGACTCATAGAAGTTATCTAGAATACGGCTGCTGGTGATAAGAGGACTGCACCACTAGGTTTATTGTGTTCTACATTGTTCTGAATAAAGACATGTATTTATTTTATGAATTCTTATTAAGTTTAAACATGTAATGCTTATGGGTATCCGGTTAAAAATCAAGTGATAATATGAAATGTTTATATTAAGATTAAATGAACTATAATAGTTCAAATCTAATATAGAAAAATATATTTGTACTTATATTGAAGTTCAATATTTTTGTTATTTCAGAACAGTAGCAGTAGCGACTCTTCAGGAAGTGACTGGCAATGTTCCGGGCCTAAACAGAGCTCTGTATGTAAACCACACTTCTCTGTAACTTCTTGTGATACGGGATTAAAGCTTAAAATCGCCGCTATTCCGCCTCGTAAAGTTTCACCTAAAAAGATTGTTAGGCCAGTGGCTAAGAAAAAACCTGAAGAAGATTCAAAAAGCGCTGTTACAAAAGATAAAGTGGGTGTGAAAAAGTCCCAGTTATCAGACACAAGTTCTAGTTCAGAGTCTTGTAGTAAATGCTCAAGTGACTCTTCCAGTGATGATGATTTACCTCTTAAAGCAGTCAAAAAAACTTTGCCTACTAAGTGTTCACCACAAAAGGGAACATTACAAAAGGGTAGGAATGTTACTGTGAAGAGTGAGAGTGACGAACATAGACTTTCTAGTGATGATGTTAAAGATGTATCCAAAAAGGATAAGGACAAGTCAGGTGTTTTTAAGGTGAACAGTAATGTGAAAAAAAATAAAAGTGAAGACTCTAATCAAGCTTCACCTGTGAAACGGGGACAGGGGCGACAACGGTCAAAGGTAAGCCTTGTGATCAGCTCATAGTTTTTTCACAAAAGAGCGTCTATAAAATTAAAATGCCCGAAACGTGTGATTGTATAACTGCATTCAAAATATCTCTTTATTGACAAAATAGAATTACTATAAAAACTTACCAAATGAAAACTCATTAGCAAAAATATTAAATAAATAGCTAAATAATTATTTCATGCAAGGTTTAATGAGAACCTACTTGTTGCTTCCCTGCCTTTACTTACTTACTTACTTGGCTGGCTCAGCGACCCAAAGAGGATCTTGGCCTCCGACACGAAAAGACGCCACTGCTCTCTATTCTGGGCTGTTTCTTGCCAATTGGCTGATTGGAGAACTCTCAGATCTTTATGGACTTCGTCTTTCCAGCGATATCTGGGGCGACCAACAGGACGCTTCCCTTTTGGTTGCCCCATATATGCTCTCTTGACTGCACGATCCTCCCCCATCCTTTCCAAGTGGCCGAGCCAACGCAGTCTCGCGGCTTTCGTTTCGAAATACGATCCCTGCCTTTACGCGGTATAAATATGTGACACATAATTTATTCTCAATCTCTGATACCTTGGTTAAGATAAAGGTGTTATTATTAACTTTATGTGTTAAGCGAACACATAAAGTTAATAATAACACCTTTATCACCATTATGTGAGAGTATGCCTGTGTTTGATAGCAATTATGTAATAATTTCATAAATATTGAAATGGATTTAATGGCATTAGTGCCTTACATCATTGGATAGTATCAGTTTATAATTTTACTATAACTCTGATAGTGCAGTTGGATAACAGCATACCTATTATTCACAGGTCAAAATATAAAGTCTTTAAAAATCATTTCATTCTATTGTGTTTAATAACAATATGTGATAGGATGTAGTAGAGATAGAAATTCCTCATTACATTAGTTAGACCTAATTGAAATGCTAACTGAATAGTTCAGCTTTGCGATCTTAATTATATGCAACCTGTTGTACAGTTTACTTTCATAACTCATACTTCTTTTATATCACATGGCTGTGGTGTTTTGCTGGTATGTTAATTTAACAAATATTGAATATAAAATGAAATCAAATGAACATAATTTAGCAAGTACTGATAACTTTGATCAGTCTATACTTTGGTGCATTCATGTCATTGCATACTTTTAAAATAATAATACTTCTGTACATGTCGTGTGGTGTCGGCGTAAGAATAAGCCACCCCATCTCATCCCGTGGGTGTCGTAAGAGGCGACTAAGGGATAAGCCACAAACATCCGGTGGCCTCCGATAGATGGCGGGATAACCATCCTAACTCTCCAGACCCAAATATCCAGGCCAATAACGGGCAGCAGCGTTTAAGGTGCGAGGTGTCTGGAAGAACTGCGGCGGCCAACCCGCTCGCCAAGCGTGGCAACTATGGCAAAAACCCGTCATATATAGTAGACCAAAGGTGTACGGCCCCAAGTCCCCGGCGGCCCTGTTATTCCTGGCTACGTTAGCGGTCATGGTAACGCCAGGGCAGGGGGTGCTAAGAATCTCCGGCTAAGATTCGGCTACCAACGACGGCGACTGGACCTGGCAACATACAACGTAAGAACATTGAGGTCTGACGACAGGATAACAGAGCTGGAAGAAGAGGTAAGCAGGCTGCGTTGGGATATAATAGGATTATCTGAAGTTCGAAGACAGGGGGAGGACACCTTGAATCCGGCAACCTGTTTTACCACCGGGAGGGCGACCAACTGTCACAAGGAGGTGTCGGATTTATTGTCCACAAGTCTCTCATTAACAACGTTGTTAAAATCGAGGGTGTGTCGTCGAGGGTTGCGTACCTTATACTCAGAATATCCAAAAGGTATTCGCTGAAGGTCATACAGGTATACACACCAACGTCGACACATCCCGATGATGAGGTGGAGGCAATGTATGAGGATATATCACGAGCCATACATTCCTCCAAAACTCAGTACATGGTGTTAATGGGAGACTTCAACGCAAAGCTAGGCAAAAGGAAAGACGATGAGCTGAGAGTAGGAAGTTTTGGAATAGGGCAATGGAACCCAAGGGGCAGCAGCTGGCTGACTTTATGGAGAAGGAGGGATTCTTTATGATGAACTCTTTCTTCAAAAAGCAGCCCCACAGAAAGTGGACCTGGATTAGCCCCGATGGTTCTGTAAAAAACGAGATAGACTTCATTATGACGCACAAACAGCAAATATTCAATGATGTCTCTGTGATCACAAGGGTGTAGACCGGCAGTGATCACCGTTTAGTGAGAGGCACATTGAATATTAACATTAGGCTGGAAAGATCTCGTCTGTTGAAGTCCACACGCCGACCATCTCGTGCCCATATCCAGAACTCCGAAAGCTTTTAAGCTCGAGCTGCATAATCGTTTCCAATGCCTAGAAAATTGCAGCACGGTGGACGATATTAATGCCAAGCTCGTGGAAACTGGCCATGTTAAATAAAAAACCTCTCAAACACCTCCCAAAAACTCTCTGGTCACACTCTCAACCTCTTGGGAAAAAGACGTGAGATGCGGTTGCAGTCTTTAACTGACATGTCGGACTACAGGTGGCTAAATAGGCAGATCTCCAAACACATGCGGCGAGACTTACGCAACTTCAATACAGCTCGTATTGAGGGAGCTATAGAGCGGAACCTAGGATCAAAAGTCTTCGCCAGAGATCGCTATCGGACAAAGCCAACTAAGTTGAAGACTGACAGCGGTGCTATCATCTCCAGTAGACCAGAAGTTTTGAGTGAGATAGAGAGGTTCTATGGACAGCTGCACACATCGTCGTTGGAGCCACACACATGTGAGTAACGACCCAAGAGCAAAGCTTATCCGACACTATTCCGAAAGCTATCCCGGACGTCAGTCTGAGCGAGATTAGAATGGCTCTTGACCACCTTAAGAATAGCAAAGCATCGGGAAAGGACGGAATTACAACAGAGCTTCTGAAAGCGGTACTTGTAGTCCTTCAGAGGCTCTTTAATTCCGTCCTTCAGGGTGGTGCCACACCAGAGGCGTGGAACAGAAGTGTTGTGGTGCTGTTCTTCAAGAAAGGCGATAACGCTCTCTTAAAGAACTATAGACCGCTATCCCTTCTGAGCCGCGTCTATGTACTGTTCTCAAGAGTCATCTTGAATCGTCTCGTAACTATCGACTCGACGACTTCCAGCCTCCCGAACAAGCCGGATTCCGAAAAGGCTTCAGTACCATAGACCATATACACACCTTGCGGCAGATTATACAGAAGACCGAAGAGTATAATCTGCCATTGTGCCTAGCGTATGTGGACTATGGGAAAGTCTTCGATTCTGTCGAAATTTGGGTGGTAATCCAGGCTCTTCAGCGGTGCCAAATTGACTGTCGGTATATCTAGGTGCTGAAGTGTTTGTATAACAAGGCTACGATGTCCGTCCAAGTACAGTCCAGTAGTACAAAACCTATCCAACTGCAGAAGGGTGTAATACAGGGTGATGTCATATCCCGGAAACTCTTCACCGCTGCGTTGGAAGATGTTTTCAAGCTTCTGGACTGGAAAGGACGAGGTATTAACATCAATGGCGAATACATCACCCACCTTCGATTTGCCGACGATATAGTCATCGTTGCAGAATCGCTGGAGGACTTTGGTACTATGCTCAATGATCTCAACAGTGTCTCCCAACGGGTGGGCCTTAAGATGAACATGGACAAGACGAAGATCATATCTAATGTCCATGTCACGCCAATACCGGTTGTTGTTGGGAGCACTGAGCTTGAAGTTGTTGACGAGTACATTTACCTAGGACAGTTAGTCCGGCTAGGTAAGTCTAACTTCGACGCAGAGGTCAATCGGCGAATCCAACTCGGACGGGCAGCATTCGGGAAACTACGGCAAATCTTCTCGTCAAATATATCTCAATGTTTGAATACTAAAGTCTTCAATCAATGTGTGTTGCCAGTGATGACCTACGGAACCGAGACGTGGTCCTTCACTGCTGGCCGTATGAGGAAGCTCAAAGTCGCTCAGCGAGCTATGGAGCGGGCTATGCTCGGTATTTCTCTGCATGATAGAGTTCGTAACGAAGACATCCGCAGTAGAACCAAAGTAGCCGACATAGCTCAGAAGATTAGCAAGCTGAAGTGGCGATGGGCCGGCCATATAGCTCGTAGAACCGATAACCGTTGGGGAAGAAAGGTTCTCGAGTGGCAGCCTCGTACTGGCCATCGCAGTGTGGGAGGACCCCCCACTAGATGGAGTGACGACCTGTGCAAATGTGCGGGAAGTCTATGGATGCAGGTGGCTCAGGATCGTACTTCATGGCAGTCTATGGGGGAGGCCTATATTCAGCAGTGGACTCAAACAGTCTGAAATGATGATGATGATGATGAAATAAAAGTAATTTTTCCATCAACTTCAAAGACGGCATTGATTATTGTCATTGTTACCCATATGTGTGATTTAAATTTCCAGTATCGTCGATGATGTAGAATTACTAAAGTTAATCATAATCGATTGGATTAAAAATACCTATTTTACACCTGTCACCTCTCTTGAAGTTTTCTACCATTTCTCTTTGCTCAGCTATGAGAACATATAAGCTTGTTAGGAACGTTAACTTATTTTTTAGTCATACTACTTGTGGCGCGTTTGGAAAAAAATTATGTAAGTTCAATTTTTAAGATGCGTGAGGACTCCGACACCGACATGATGAAGTTAGTCGCTTTGCAACTATGTTCAAGGTATTACCATGGCTACCAAACCAATAACAACTTTGACATTAAGGTAAATATTATTAGTTATTTAATTAAACCGTTACATATCCATTAGATTTAATGTCTTTTTGACAAACAAAGACTACTGGTATAACTGGGATAAAATTTTTTGTTATTTTCTTTTGTTACAAAATCGGTTCACTCAGTCGAAAGTTCTGAGGTAACAAACATAAAAAAAAAGTATAGTGGAATTGAGAACCTGCTTTTTTCCTCCTTTTTTGAAGGTTTGAAACATGATTTGACTTTGTTGACACCAAAGCA